ATTTCACATTATGGCTTATTTTTGCCAAGGGTCTGAAAGGTAATTTGTTCCATGTTGGTAAGTGGAGGGGATTGCTTGCATAATTAAAATGAAATACATTCACCAATTTTCTGACCCCCACCATTTTTTAGATGGTAGCTACTAAGACTGAGTGTCAGGATGCTGACATAGGTGTAACCTGTAAAGAACCTGAAGCAGCATGGATTTATGTCAGTAAGCTTCACCAGGGTCGTTTTTCTATCGGAAACTTTGATGTTGAATATTATTTTAAATCTTCTCAACCCTTTGAAACTAAGCAAATCAGATCTACTGTTCTGACTACTGATTCAGTTAAACCAGACACTGTTCTGTAATCAGATTCTAATTAGAGAATTTAGATTTACTGCAAAACATTATTATTAACATGCCTGCAAAAGTGTCCCATGAAAAAGCCTGGGGAACAAAATAATGCAGTTGATCTCACGCTTGCATTATCACTCAATGAATCTGAAAATAAATGGGCTTTAAATGAGGGATTTAGTGGCAAAGTTATTCAGGAAGGCCTGGGGAACAGACGTTTGAATAGCTCTGTTGTAAAGCTCCACATAAAGTGCCTCGCCCAGACGCTATCATCCACGCCTCGCACCCTGACACATGCTCACCCTCCAGTGTCTGGGATCCTCTCCTGACACAGAGGCATCCTGATAAAAGAAGAAAAAAAAAAACTCTCAGGAATCACCTCTTTTTGCCCTTTTGCCCGGAGGATTGTCCGTGATGTCAGTCTCTCCAGAGCTTTGTAGAGGTAAACAAAGGAAATAGGAAGCATAAGGCAGCAGGTGCTAGCCAGCTGCTGAGGTGTCTAGGTCTCATGGAGGACAACAGAAATTCTTTGGGAATGTAGTCGATTGGCTCTATTATCTAGTGAAATGGCAGTATCTGAAATTAGAATAGGTTTGCATCATGCTGCTATGGTTTGATTTTCACTTACCCATGACACAGACTGTGGATATAATAAACAGATTTCAAATGCTTCCTATGTATCAGAGAAGCATTTCCCTGTGTCTTGTTGTGGCAGGCCACTACAGCAGATGAGATAATGTGATGCAGCTCAGCTCTGAAGTTGAAAAACAACTTTTTTTCCACTTGATTAGGGATGAGGAAGCAAAAATGGTAAAGGCGTGGGAGTTGGGGGGGAGATGCTGTTTCTTTGGGAACAGGCCAAAGACCTCTGTCTCTGTTTGTTCAGATGACATCATCTTTCTACTATCCCATATATCAGATACCCTGCTGTCCTCAGCGCTAGTCCTCATTTTTTACTGACCCGACACTGAGTCAATGATTGGCTTGAAATTTCACAGAAACTGCATGCTTCAGTGTGCAAGGCACGATCTTTCTAATTTAAGAGTCAGTGGATTCGAAGAATGTTATTGTGCCAAAGGTCGTCATTCAGCTCGGTTATGTCAGTATTTGGTTTACGATGATATAATGAGCCACACTGGCCTTCTGATGCACCAGAAAAAGAAAGATCTACTGCTGCCCAGTCTCAATTATGCTTCATCTAGTCATAAATGGCAAATACCTTGATTTGCATTAGTAGTAGTGGCTAGGAAAAGTAGTCTGGAGCAAGTGGCGCATTAAAGTATGACAGAAAAGTTTCTGTTTAACTTTTTAACTGGGCATGAAAAAAAGCAAAACTTGACCTTATTCCCAAACACTCCCACCTTCCAGAAAACGGTGAATGTAAAACTCATTATATCCAGCAGGAATGAAAATGAACTACACTGCAAAATTATCAAGGTGACAGACGTTATGTTCCTATACACTGCAACATGTCCCCGCTCCCTTTAAAATTACAGAATGGAAAAGGGAGAGAAAAGTGCTAATTAATGTATGTTGGCACCTTGTGTTAATTTCCTAATATCCTTCGTGGATAGGCTGTTAAGTGCAGAAAGTGTTGCCAGCAGCAAGTCAAGTTCACATCTTGTATTATCACCTACAGTATGGCCTACAGTATGAGACCAGCGTGATGTGTCCTGGGCACCTGGCCATCACTGATCCCACTCCTTAGACCTCTATTTGTTTTGGGAGCTCTGGCTACCTCTGACCAGTGGATAAACCCCGAGCTGTGTATTTTGAGTGTCAGAAGCACTTTGTGGGACCTGTGAAATGGATTTGATTCAGGACTTATGCTGGAACCGGCAGAGGCTCTGCTTAGTGTCACAGCACAGCATAAACACCTGTTGATTTTAAAATGGTAACACCGTGCACTAAGCGGCCTCTGACCGTGAACAGGCACCAGTCCAACTCTTCCACTTAAAAAGTGACTTTCTCTGCAGAATCTGCTGCTCAGCGAGCTTCTGTTTCTAGTTTCTGGAACAATCAATGGACCATAGTTTATACAGGAAATACCAATATGGATGAACAAGGGAATTAGATCATAACACAGAGCTCAGCTCCTTGCTACTAGAAAGGAATAGTGGGGAAATAGCAGTGAGAGAGTCGTAACACTGGATGAAAAATATTGGGAAACTCACGGCCAGAAAATGGAAATGAGGTATTGGAGTTGGCAATAAATACTAGACTTAACTGCCTGAGAATTTTCCCCGCTTAGGAATGTGTCAGACTTAGGCTGGAGTTCCCATGGCTTTGGTGTGAGGTATGTATGAGGAATGGTGCTCATTCCAATTAGACTGTTTACTTTGCCCTCTCCTTTGCGCGCCGCTCCACTGCTCACAGGCGCGTCTGTGCGTAAAGGCTGCACAGACACGAGTGGACTTAACGCTAGCTGGAAAAATCAGATCCCTGTTTTTGACATTGTTGCCTCACCTCTAATCATTTTGTATCGAGAGCAGATACAGGTTTATAGTAGATCTGCACAAGTTTGGTATTTGGATCAAGCTTGGGCATCTACGTCTAAAAATGTTGGCTGCATGGCGCACTGGCAAAACAAAAAATCGTTCCAATCATAAAATAATTACTCCACCCTTTATTTTTCAACCACACACATCTAGAGCATACACGGGCTGTAGTTTAATGGTTGAGTTGCGAAAGAAACCCTTGATCAAAAACAATAAACTTACTGTGTTCTGGCGGACCATTGATCATGTTGAACTTGTAAATCTCTTTGGCATAGTACTCAGTCTCCGTGTTATCCTGTCCACAACTCTGGTGCCTGTCTCTTCCCAGCTCCTCAATGAGCTCCTTGGTGCTGTTATAAAGGGCCAGGACCTGAAACGGTACTTGACTTGGACCTGTTGTTTGAGGCGGACTGGTCAGCCGGAGTTTACTGAGAATCTGTCCCCGGACCGCCTCTACTCTCTTTTTCTTTATGTGGTCGATGTCCACAGTGGTGCAAGTGGATAGCGACAAAGTCATTGTCACACAATTTGAGAGGAGGAAAAACAGAATTGCCTTTCCCAGATTCATATTTCACTCTGCTTTCACTCACAACCGAGGCTTGTCAAGTACAAGAAGAAAAAACAAACCAAACTAAATTCCGATTTGAATAGAATCCCTTTTCTCTTTTCATTCAGGTCGTGAGTGAGTTCTGTTCCTGGAGGAATCCCATTTTCTCAAGTGCTATGTCATCTTTGCAAAATGCGCATTTGCATGGGAGCAAATCCGTGCCATTTTGGAGAAAAACAATCTCAACTCTTCATTAAAACTCTTTATTCTACTCTTCATTCCCTCTTATCTCATGCAAGCACCTCTTCTCTTCTTCCTGAGTTTTACAGAGCACCGATCTCTGCGCCGCGGTTCAGTTTCTCCATTGCATTGAGCTCTTTCCATCCACTTGTGCTTTTGGAGCCAGTGCGCCTCTATGCTCACTCTCTGCTGTCCAGCCTCAAACACACTTCACTCTCCACTCTCCCTCATACTTTATACTCACAAGCTGTGACGTTTCAGAGGGAGGGGCAACAAGTAATAGCCTCGTTTCGGACAATGAGATCTGTCCTATTCTGAAATGCATTTAATGAGACTTCGATTTTCATGTTGTCGAAGTTCAGAAAATGTGCCTAATATTGGGCAATGTGAGATTTCGCAAGAGTGGCTCTCGAGTAAAGAAGAAAACACTGATTTGTCGATGTAATATGTTTACTTTCTGCCCGTGGATGAAGAAGATAAATGCCATTTGTATTGGAGGAATAAGACTGACGTTAAATGTGTTGCTGTGTGCTCATAAATTTCCATCAATTAAGGACCCTTAGCTTGACTAAGGGGTCATTGAGTGGACTTTTATAAGTCCTTAGGCAGTATTGACCACATCCAAAATAAAGTTTTGGAGGAAACTCAAATGCAGAATGAAGGCCAAAGTTAACAAAGTAGATCTTGGAGGTGCACAGGGAGCACAGCCAGCTGCTGTGGCCCGCTGGATGCTGCTACCGTTCAGCTGCTCCCTCTGCAGTGACATAAAACATGCAGAACAGCGACATCTAGTGGACGTCTGTGGGAACTTCGGGTCCCATCTTAACTGGCAGGCCACTGCAGTAGATGAGATAAAGTGATGGGGCTCTATTTGATTATGGATGAGGGAGAAAAAAATGGCAAAGGCGTAGTAGTTGTGGGATAGAAAGTCTGACTGTTTAGATAACATTTTTCTATCCCTCCCATAGAAATATTTTTAAATTTCCATGACCCCTGAACGGAACTACCAGGCACAGGCCCAGGGGTCAGACATGTCAGGGACCCCCCCCCCACCACCCCCCCCACCCCAATGAACTGCATAGAGACTCAAAACAACCACAAAGAGACACAAAACAACCAAGAAAGACACAAATGGGGAAGACTGTTAAAAATAAATTAACATATAATGGGGAGCTCCTGCCTGTTAAACAAACTGGGGATTTTTAGGGACATTTATAGTCACCTTACTCCGCAGCAACAGCAGCTCTAACAGTCTATTTGTCAAAAATACTTTTTATGTACTCTATTTCTATGTAGCCTATTTATTTGTTTATTTACTTACTGACTCGACCTCCTGGCGATTGACTGGGACTCGAACCGTCCTTCTGATTGGCGTTACCATGGGGAGCGTTGCTATGTGACGCTTGTTGATAACCAGGAAGACGCTGCTGCCACAGTGCTAGCAAGGAGGAGAGAAATGGAGGATAACTTCCAGCTCGGAGAGGCTGGAGCGGTAAAAAATGTAAGTGAGTCATTAAAATCGCCGAGAATGCAGTAAGGGAACGGGGGCAGTCATAGGGTGAAGTTTGTGCGCTGTAAATGGAGCTGGGAGCATGCTATATAGGAGCTACGAGGCTAGCTGCTAGCTACTTAGCTACATAGCTATTAAGATCATGTAAACATTAGTATTAGCTAGTCAGTGAATGAGATAACTATTTCACCTAACTTTTATTAGCAAAGAGATATTATCTTTTACCGCCTTTGTGCAACGGCAGTAGGAAGGTTTGTTTGAAAGTATATAACGTTAGCTAACATTGTAGTTAGCCATGCTAACCGAAATTTCCCGACATGCACAGCTCTATGTTTTGCACATGCTGTGCAAAGTTAACCATTTGGTCATTTGCAACTCTTGCTGAACGTCTGTAATTACTCCATAGAAAAACTAAAACGAAACGAACATATTCTGGTGTACTTGTACTGCATACCAATTACTATCACCATCTTTCTTCATTAAAAGCAATTCAGTTATGTTTGAACTTTACTGCTGCTCTGACTTACTGCAGTCAGATAGGATGCTTAACAGTTACTTCGGTGGGTACTTTGACCTCCCTGTTTGTTGGTTCTTAGGGTTGGTTCTTGGTTTTTATTGTGCTAAAACCCTTGCTTTAAATTATTTGCATTACACTCAACTTATCTTGGTTCACAGCAGACAATATTGCAGTGCTATTTGTAACTTCAAAATTTCCCTCACAATATGAATGAAAATAATACAGAGAAACATTGCCTAACGGCTTTGTCACATAAGTAACATTTTAAAGTACAGTGCTACAATTCAGAATGAATTCTCAACCTTTTTTTATCTTCATTTTACACCTCCATTGACCACTGACCCTGCAAAGGATTAATGCGCTTCTTCCATCTTGTACTGCATTGTCAGATGTTTCGTTAAACTGTTCAACTTCCCTTCTCATTTATTCTCCTTGACCAACATACAATGTCATATTGATACTACTACTACTGCTTACCACAAAGGGAAATTCTGATATGTCAGCGAGGTATGACATATTTAATTCCCAGACCTTAACATGGTAGGGAAATTTGAGTTTGCAGCACTTGAGAAAACAGTTTTCTTCAAATGACGGGGGTGTTCCCGGAATTTCCGCTCATGACCCTGCTATCAATTTCAGGAAAAGTGTTTTATTTTGAAAACATTTTGTTGTTTGCTTAAAGCACTTAAAAATAATGCCTACTTTGAAAGTGCAGTCATGGTTCCTCAGTAGAGTTGTTCCTCCATTCTTCAAGGAAAAGTCGGTCAAATAATATTCACTATTTGAATAATGCCCCTATTGTATGCAAAAAATAAAAAAATCACTACCACATCCAAACAGCGTGACTTCACAGAACTGGAAGTTGTAAAAAATTGCAAAGCAAAAGCAACTTGGTTGGTTCATGAAAGAGGAATAAGCTGATGTACTGTATTTTGAAGTCCATCCAGACAACATTTGGTTGGCTCATTAGATGGCACAGTCGAAGTAAAGCGAAACCGCACAGTCTTAGGTAGTTGTTGAAAGTGCCAGCTTCTGGCTTTATGATATCAAAATCTATTTTCCATTTTAAAATTCTGCACATTTCCCAGGTTGCAAAGTCTGGACGGAGAGCTCGCCTTGCAGCAGACCAATCATCATTTGAGGATTCTCGTTATGTGAGGAAGTCTTCCACATCTGCTTCAATGGCCGAAGTATGTGAACCTGATATTATACAGTTAGTTGCATGTTGTAACTTCACCTCACAATAATCTTGATGGCTATGCATTTTGATTCTATCTCATACATGAATCACAGGAGGACGACGAGGTAGGTAGCATGAAAAAAACAGTGACTTTGCATGGCTTCTGCTACTACTGCTCCAGACATCAACTTTATACCATTTACAGTAGTCTCTGTTTCATAAACACTGGTCTTTTAACATGAGTCACCATAACTGTTTGCTTCAGATCAGCTGGTTAGATTTGATACCCAGGCCTGTTAAAATTCACTACCTCTCATATTACGGCATACACAGTAGCACCAGCTTGACCACACATGGTATAAAGTTTTAATGGAGTGCTTATTTATACAGAGACATTTGAGTTGGCATTTTCCTACTTGAGCAGGTTTTAAAGCAGTCACTGTTCCAAAACTGTAGCTGCTCTTCATTTATTGCCCTGTGTGTTTTGGATCTGATGTGCTTGCATGTAGTGTTTTGAAGTGTTACTGCAGACAAGCTCTAAAACCCCTTTCAAACGTTAGAGTCACAAAGCTTTGTAATTGTTCTCTTGTAAATGGTCTAATTGAAAAACAAGCAGATTACATAAGCAAAGTCTCCATGACTCGACCAACAGTTTTCATAAATCCTCTCCTTATACTGCCTAATGTGACATGAATCAGTTAAGCCTCAGCAGACATGTAGTAAAGTTCTCTCAGTGAAGTCTGCCTTATAAAACACGTTGGAGTTCTAAGTTTAGACTAAATATAGGGCAAACATATATGAGAGAAGTCAAATCAGAAGCGACAGTTGAAATATAAGAAAATAATTTCACTCCGCTATCGCTGGCATTTGTGGAATCAGTCACGTCTCCTGGATTGGCAAACTGTAAACAAGCCAACATTCCCAAAGCAAAACATTCCAGCAATGCTTTTGCTTTAGGCTAATCTTCCCAAATCAGGCCAACTTCCCTAATGTATGAACCAGTATTCTCGCGCCCTCTCTGACCTGCTGTGCACATGCAATACATTTTTCCAGAGTGTCGTGCGACTGGGTGGGTTTATTTGCAGTCTTCGTTTATCAACCCTGGCCTCTTCTGCCGAAAATACCCAACTGATTGGTCACATTCCTGACATCCTTTTAAACAAAGACTCATTTGCTTTTATGGGCTCATAGGGCTTGGCCACCACAAGTCCCCTGCCCTAGAGACCATCAGAGAATCCTAAATTAGAAACTACGAGAGCTGAGCTAATTGCCTTAACAGCCATAACTATTTTACTACAACTGTGAGGTTCATATTTGGTCATGGAGAGTTCGAGGCGCAGATTTGTTTTGTTTCTCAGGACACTTATGGTCCTCTCCATTTTTGTAGAATGAAATAACTGTCACAGGATGAATTTATTATACTCTAAGACACTTGACCTTACTATCTTGTCTCTCATGAAGATTGCTCATTGTCAAGAATACCAAACATTAAACATCAGAGGGATTTCATACCACTTGAAGGAATTTTTTAATGTTGCTGAAAATGACTCAATTGTCATTATTGTAATCCCTTTTGTTCTTAATAAAGAGACAGTTACTAATTACACAAAGTTGAGGGAGCTTGTTCTGCCTCAGCTCTCTCGATTAATGGTAATATACAGCGGAGCAGAGTGGCTCCCCCTCCCTCTGCCCTGCTTAATGGTGACATTCAGATTTATAAATGGCTTTGGTGAAGGAACCAGCCATGAAAGATTATTTCCTCTTTCATCATAAACGAAAGAAATTCTTCACGAGCACTTTGTCCTCTGCAGACCCAATTTAGTAATGAGAAATGTTGTGCCTTTTTTTTTTTGCCTAATTCATTTGTCTAGTGCCCACCCTCGTGTGCTCTGAGGAATTCATTCATTCAAGTGCTGGTCTCAGGGTCCCGGTCTCAGGATCGAGATGCATACTCAGTTTACTATTTTCAGAATCAAAGAATGAGAGGGAGAGGGTCATTTTTTCCTGCGGATCTATTTAAGGGTCAGACTTACGGGCCCGGGCAGTTCCCACACTCTGTTCCATACGTTCTGTGCTGGAAATGGACTGTATTGAAAACTATAATAATAAACAAAACAATGGAGCGCATATAGATGACGCTGTGTAGCACATACCAGACATATTGTTTGCTGCACATGAGCTTTTTGGTTGATTAGAACTAAAATATTGGAGCACATGATTAGAAGTGAACTTTGGTTTAAATGGTCTCCACACCTTTAGTTGGACAGTAAACATGCACTTTATTTTCTTTTACATTTATGCTAAGTTAAGGGGTCTGCTTCTCCTGTTGTAGACAAGAGAGCCGCCCACTGGCACATTTCCACTTTTGACAATATTCACCACCATGTCAAACAGGTATTGATCCAACACATAACCCTTGTAATCATGGCAAAACTTAAAGGAACAGTGTGTTAAATTTAGGGGGATTTAGTGGCATCTAGTGGTCAGGTTGCAGCTACTTAGTTGCAGTAAGAATTCCTTGAGTGTTCATTGTTCAGGGGAGGTTTTTACCCGTAGAAGAATTATTCGCAGAGGTCTCTACCTCTCCAAAACAAATGGGCCAGGTGAGTAAAACCTATAAAAGCACATATTAAAGCAGTTTCACGTTGCAAATCAGTGTTTCTCCTATGCTGTTTAGCACATCACAGACCAGCCGCTTGTCCAGCACCTGCTAATGTGTGCTCACCTTATTTCTGATCAAGACGTTCAGAAGGGTTTTTACCCAGAGCCAAATTATCAGCAGAGGTCTCTTCCTCTCTTAAACAAACAGACCTGATGATTTAAACCAGTAAAAACATTGAATAAAACAGTTTCACTTTAAAAAATCAGTGTTTCACCAGCACTCTTGTTGCAGAGGCGCTTCTAACTACTGTGGCCGATGAGAAAATTCGAATGACCCTATCTAGAGCCAGTGCTCAGTTTGTCCGCTCTGGGCTACTGTGGAAACATGGTGGTGTAACAGTGGGATCTCTGTAGACCATACTTGCGCCCTGTGTAGATATATACGGCTCATTCCAAGGTAACAAAAACACAACAATTATTATTTTCAGAAAATATACATATGCAATATTCCATTTCTGCCAATATGGCCTGCTAAATCCTACACACTGGACCATTAACGCTATATGTTACACAAACATAGTATTCCAAAATTAAAGCCCAATAAAAGTCAGAATGCTTCCAAATATGAATTATTTATCTCCTACGTGAGTGAGTATTCAATGAAGCTGTTTGCTATTAAAGTTCTCTTCTCCTCCAGGGCCCTCCTCCTAAACCGGCCCGGCGGCAGGGTGGCTGGGCAGAAGAAAGCTCTGGCTCTGGTTCTGCCAAGTACGTATCTTCACCCTTTTTCCTCCATCTCCTGTGGCTACGCTGAAGGCGGAGACCACACGCTGTGGTCTTGGGTTATGTGTTATTAATGAACTCTCATGCTGTTGAATGAGCTTATTTATCAGTGCATATTTGGCACTCAGGCTGTGAATCAACAAGGTTAGAGGGAGCCTGTCTGAGCAGGCAACTCTCCATTCGTCTTCATCTGTGAGCAAGGCGGTAATTGACATGGTTAATGCATCAGCCACAGGAGGGCACTGTTAGTCAGCTAGCCACTTTATCACAGGGGTTCAAGCCACTTAATCACCCCTTACCACTGCAGTCTGCTCCTTACATGGGGAGCACAACATGGAGAATTCAAGAAATATTTGGAACAGATGGAAAGTGTTTGCCCAAAGCTTTCGTCTACAACTAACAAATCTAAATCTAAATACTGTACATGACTAAATCAATATGAGGCTTTTTATTGCAGTGTGGAACTACCTCTCTCGTTTTCTCTTCCACCTGCCACTGTGCTTCTGTTTTTTCAGTCTCAGCGGAGGTGAGAACATAGGAGATGCATTGAAGTGAGCAGACTGAGTCAATTGTGCTTATTTGCGTAGTTTACTGCACCGTTAGTGCAAGCAGGGAAAACAGCAAACTCAATAGATCTTTCCTTTCTCACAGAAGGTCAGCGTGTCGCTTCTCTGCTTTTGTGTAACCCAGCTTGATTCCCAGTCTCAAAGCGATTGAAATACAGGAGGTGTAAAAGGGGTTTGCGCGCGCATTGATCCTCTCTGAAACAAAGTAAGTAATGGTCCCCCCTGGAACCGGCAAGGACTTTTCCCTTCAATGTCACCCCTCATGCTCAATCACCGCCGCCCTCCTCCCACTAATCCCAGCGCAGAAATCCCGGGATTTGTCGATCTATCACTTCTAATTGACACTAAATGATCTGTCAGTTTATTGATGAACCTTTGAAACCAGGTTGTCACAATATATTTTATCCCTAACAACTTTTTCCAGACAGTTTTACCATGTCTATCGCTTTGCCTTACATGAGTCTTAATCAAGGGGCCTGTAATGTGTCTTAAGTGTCGCCACCCCCGCCCCTCAGACAGGACACAGTCCAAGGGCAGGCAGGTAGGCTCCCTCAGCTCCTCTCTGTCCTGCCTGGTTGGACTCTAGTACCTTCATGTGCTGATGGTCTATACTCAGACAGGATTAATGAGACAGACAAAACAGGAGTAAACATTTTTAGCTGAGAACTGGTTGCTAATTGTGTTTTCATGTCTTTCTGTCCATTAATTTTGGCTCTCCTCTTAAAAAAAAATTATTAACAACACTCCACTTCTGCAGTATGAATATATCAGAACTTAAATGTCTGTACAGTATGTACTCAGATTGATGACAGGGGATGTGTGATGTAAAATCATATTCAGGTTACCCTGTCTATGTCAGGGAACTCTGTGCTAAGACTTGATATCTGGATTTTTGTGCAAGCTTTTTCTTTGAGCTTATGAGTTTGTTTGCCAAAATTGAAATGTGTCTGCTGTGATTGTCAAATAACATTCTTTCTTATAGAACCCAAAGTCCCAAATCAAATTAGCCTCAAAGGTTTCACAGTCTGTATAACAGAGTATTTAGCAAACTCACCCTTTAATAGAAAAAAACAGGAAGAAGCCTCAGAAAGAACAAGCAATCCCTCTCATAGCTAAAAGTAGGAGTTGGTGTTCAGGTGCTACTTTTGATATAGAAGCTTTAATTTATTTTTCATGCTTGTTCACAGGGGGTTTGCCTTTCTAGTAATGTCTCCACTGCTCTGTTGTTCTAGCAGCCCCTGAACACTGACATCAGTGTGCAGTGATTTTGATCCTGACATTTTACTTAGAATATGCATCTCTTTTTGTATTATTATCATTATTATTTTTATTATTATGGATAAATGTATATTTATATATTTAATTTAAAGTGTTAATTATTCAATATCAATATTATTAATATCAATACTGCAGGTTTGCAATCTTGATTTTTGGCAGTATGAAAGAATGAAGACGACAGTAAGGAAAAGACTGTTGCTTTACTGGATGTATAACTTCTAAATCCAGTAGGGGGCACTACTCAACCAGGAGACCTAGCAAAAGCATTTTGCATCATGAAAAAAGATCAAAACCTCATATTTTAAGCTTCTAATTAAAACACACCAAAACTTATTCTGCATTGATTACAAGCTTTTCTCTGATGCCCGGTGTGATTGCTACCTTTCTAAAAACAGATAGCGGTTGCTAAAAATACTGTGTCGAGTCAGAGAAGTGTCAAAACACAGTGTTTTGGTATCTGGCATGCTCTGTTCAAGCTGAGCTGTGTAAATGGAGAGAAGTCTGAAAATAGCTGCATGATCCAGCAGGAGACGAGGCTGAGAAAACAGAGGAGAGGAGAAGACACAGTTACTGTGGACCCCGCTGTGTCTGATATTGCAGAATAACTGTCATCAGATACAGATGAAGAGGATGCATCCATCAAAATACCTCTAAGGACAGTGCCAGGAAGGAAAATACATACTGTGTACATTTGAGTTTTGTGCTTACTATTATTTTGGAGGAAAGAAGAAGCAGTCTAACAATTGTGTTATTTCATCTAACATTTGTTTTCTCTGCTATGATACAGATCATCAAGAAGACCTGCAGCTGAAGACCTGGAAGAGTAAGTTCATGCAGCCGCCACATTCATATTTCATTGTGCTCCCGCAGTTGTTGATTGACTTCAATGCCAGTTACATTTTTGTGCATAAAAATAGGTCAGTTTAAATGTTTGTTCCCTTTGCGGTTAAGTGGAAATAGTGCTGTACTTTCAGATTGTCCTTGGTTGCTAATCCTTGCCTTCCAAGAACAATCACTTAACATGATTAAAAAGCAGCGTGACTGAGTTGTCATCACTTTTATTGCTGTTAGGAGCCAAGTTTTTCTGTTATTCTAGTTTTTCCCCTCACCCTCCCTCACATCACTCTGTGACTAGAATAGACATCATGAGGAGAGGCAGGTAGAGGACGAAGTCGTCTATGTTTTACTCATCATCGCAGCTGGAGCCCGGTGCCTGAATGGCTGTAGTGAGAAGGAGGCTCTGTGCGTAAAGTTGTTACCCTGCAGAAAAATCCCTTATGTTGTACTTCTGTCACAACTGTCTTGTCTCAGTAATACTTATTCATACTGCTGCTCCAGCTGGGTTTGTTTTTTAAAAAATCCTTGAGGTGATCTTGTCTAAGGCTGGCAAGCCGGTCACCCAGACAGCAAAGCAGCATGTTGTAGCACCATCAGTGTCTTTTGGCAGAGACTGCTGTTCAGAAGTCCAGTCAGACTGTAGCAGACCGAGCAAGTGTCCTGACTGCTACGAGAGAAAGACGGAACAAGAAACAGGCCCATCATCAAAGCAAAGTAGCCCAGGAGCCAACACACTCATTCCCTGTGATGACCTCACCGTCGGGCTGCATTTTGAAAGCATTAAATAATTCATACTCTCACACTTCCTGTTTCTACAGCCGCCGCCTGCGACCACAAACTCCCCAGGGATCAGATGATGAAGGAGGTGAGAGCACCCTCACTATCCCCCCACTCCGTGTCTCTCCTCACGGGCAAAGAGGAGCCCTCCAGTGCCTCCCCACCCAGCACATTCATCCTCTGGAAGTAGAGCAGATAAGCAGGCAGTCAGATCATCGCTTTTCACTGATGCTCACACCATATTTCTCCTTGAATCCAGCACGGATTCATGTGTTAGAACTCTGCCTCTGTGTTCCTCCTTTTGACCGGTGTGTCACACCGTATCAGCGTGGCCCTTTTGATGAAAATGACAAGTGAATATGCTCATTAATGAGGTTAGATCTATAGGTGATGGAGAATATTGTGGCAGGATTTAAGTGTTCCCCTCACCGCCCAGAGCGACACAGTTAGTTAGAAACACACACACTGCTGTCAGGCAGGTGCTGTTGAATACAGATCCAGCAGCAACCGAGTCACCTGAGGGCCCAACTCTGCGCACAACAAACAATGTCAGGACTGAGGGGGGAAATTTCAGCTAAACCATGCCTGGAATAATTGTTCTATTTTGCGGCACAAGGCAGCTGGGGAAATAGGGTCAAATTGCCTTCGTAAAGATAGGTTGGCTACATGAAACGCTCAGATGACAACACTGAAGGACTTAAACACATCAGTATCGCAAGCGGTACTGAGTAATGTCATTTATGAGCAAAGAAAAAACAACAAACAAATGCCATATTGTTGAAACCCTTTTATCTATATCAACTAAAAATCATTACTGTTTCAAAATGTCCATCATCATGTTTTTAAATTTAGTGTTGCAAATACAGAATGATAAAACAAAACAAAGCTACAAATGTGATAAATTACAGAAAATCAAGGAAAAAAAGTTTATCCTGTTGAGTCAAATGTCTTGTTAGTGTTTTATTCAAATATTAAACTTTGATATTTTCTCACGATAGCTGTAAACCATGATAACATTTGTCAAATTATTGTAATACGGATATATAGCAAACAATAATATTTAATTATCACTCAGCCCTTAAGTAAATTTTGCAATATTTTCCTACATGCTATCTCACATAGTGGTGCTTTTTGTTAAGAAATTGGAAAAATACCATTTAAAAAAGTACAAAACTCTCAAATGAAATTCAAATGTATTGAAAAATCAAAATGAATTGCACCGATGAACTGCAGAGTTTAAGGTAGTGAAAACACCATATGTCTCCATTACATTTAATGCACACACGCCCATATTGTCTGTCACTGCCCAGCATGCACTGGCTCAAACAGCCAGTTGAATGAAGAGTCCAGAGGTTTGGTTCTCTTGCAGTTAATGCCGCCGGAAAGATTATTACTCTGCGGAGGGAGACCTCTTAATACAGAGCCGGAGGCAGGGGCATTGGAAATTACAGTGCTGAGGGTTAGTGAGATAGCCCCTGCGATCTTGATTATGTCCCCTACCCTTATCCCTTATGTCCACTGGCTACAAGCACAGAGAGAAAAAGAGAGAGAGAAGGCTAGCCCCGTCCCCTGCTCACATCTTCCCATCAGCTGCCCCCACAGCCTCCTGCTGGTCACTTAAAATAGCACCAGTATCGCAAAAACACTCATCTGCCTCATGTTTTACTCTACGCTGGCGATGTGTTGAATATCATCCCATAAGCCTTTCAAATGGATTCTGTGGCTAGGTAATCATTTGACTGGACCCCTGCGTAGATTATAGGAGGGCCAAGTGATGGGGAGAGACGCCCTGTCCAAAGTCGCTGACTGGCGTGTGCCTGCCGGGAGTATGTCTACATTCACAGCAAATTATCCTCTTTTGATATTTACATGCTTCAGCGAGGAAGCTGGACGCAACCGTGTAATAAGGATACGCGTGGCCTGCTCGCTGCCAGACAAAAGCCACCTTGATACATGTCCAGTCGAGGGAAGGGAAGGGAGTGAGGGTAGGTAATGTGTGCTGCGGCGCTGAGGAGAGACAGCTCCTCCTGATGGAGCTGCCCTTTGCGTCAGAAGAAAACACTGGCTTGTTTGCGGCTGCTTTGATGCCCTGCTTGACCTCCAGTAATGGGTTGAATTTGAAGCTCATTTAAAAATGTTGTTCCTTTTTTCACTTAATAATAGACTTTGCATATAGACAACATATGCCTCTGTGCTTCACATTGAACTCTCATGGAGTGTGTTAATAGTGCATTACTGGCTGAGATGAAAAAGCGAGCGTGTGGACAGATAGACAACCCAGGAAGCTGTTTGCAAAGAGCCGGATGGCAAGGCTTTTTGATGTCATTGCACTAAGACCATTAAATTTGATTGGGGGTCCAGGGGGGACGGATTCTGCTGAACGCTGTGCTTTGTAAATGAGAGGACAAAGTGTCACCAGGGCCTCATGAATATGAAATACCCGCGCCCGCATTTATTTGGATATCAGAAACACAGATGAATCTTGTCAGCGGCTAAACGAGCGTGGCATTTTTAATTTGGTTTAATTAAAAAAGAGAAAGAAATAAGTTATCAACAGAGGGTGAGCTTTTGCTATCTCCTGGAAGTTGGTAGGTTAGGTTTTGACCAAGTTGTCTTCTGTGAAATGTGTTCAGAATCAAAATAATGTCTCTTCATCTCAACAGCCCATAACTTTTCTGGGGAACTGAAATTTAGTGTTCCGCGGAAGATCGATGTTTCTTCAACTGCAGTTTATTTTCGGGAGTTATTTCGAAGGAATGGTGACATAGATGCCGAGATATTTCCTCACATCAGATGCACACTTCCATCTCCTCACCTCTATTTAGCTCCTCTATTGACTTTCCCCTCAGGGTGCAGTACTGTGGTTAGAGATTACTGACAACCCTCTTCATGCAGTCCAGCTCTCTCTTTTCCTCCCACTATCTGTCTGTTCCTCTCTCTCTGTTGCTTCCTCTCTCTCTCTCTGTGTCTCTCTCACTGTCAACACTCAGCTGTAGAGCTAATAAGGATGTGCAGTCTGCTGCCCCCTCCCCACTCCCCAGAAAATATTGTTCAGGAAATCCACATCACACCCAAAGTTAACACATTTTCTGTAAGGGCAGATGGAGAGCCAGTAAAGTTTTTGGCAACTGTCTGCACACAGAAATGTCTCCTGGTGACATGATAAAACTTTTTGTGCAAAACAGTTTGTGCAAAACATTCTTCCTTAACGATACGTCAACCTTTTGATGATTAATGTCATCCCACATAAGGGACTTATTATAGAAGTATTTGAGCATATTTCAATCAGTCTCTTTATTCATTAACTATTTAGCTTATTTTCCGCCGATCTTTCTATTTCCCTTATTATGCCTCTTTTATTTCCCTGCTCCAACAAATGTCCATCTGAAAAATGCTGTGAAAGTTTGCCCTGTCCTTCTTGGGAGTGGAGCCATCCTCCGTCCTGTTGCGTTTTGCCAATTAAAGTGGGTTCCCACTGTTTGAGCAGCGGGTTGGTGGCTCCTGGCACTGCAGCCCCTGCCAGGCCGCACTGTGACTTCCGACCCCACACAGATGGGCCCGCAAGCAAATACTCTTGCACGTGGCTGGATGCCGCCCCAGTCGGAGTGGCAGAGTGGACATGGAGGTCGGCCTACCGGCCACTGTGGGTCCTGGGGGTGGGCGGCGCTGACAGGGCCCAAATGCTAAGGTAGCAGGGGGTGCTTTCTGGGGAGCCCCTGGCCAGCGCCCCTCTCACAGCAGGAAGAGCTGCCGCCTCGCCTCCTGAATATTCATGGCCGCATGGCTATTGTGACAGGGCAGCTCTTATGAGGATGTAGCTAGAGAGAGGGAGGGGAGGAAGTGCCACACAGACATGGTCACACATACACATATTCACACAGATCTGTACACTTCTAACAGCCATACACAGGGGATTTACTGTACTTTTCATAAATTAGATAAAATTAAATTCCAAACAGATTTTCTCACATTTGGACACTTTTGAAAATGTAATCAGATCATCTGTAAAATGTTGTGTTCTCTGTTTTTCTGTTTTCAGATATTCCAGTGATTCCAGACCTCGAAGAAGTACAGGAAGAAGATCTCACCATGCAAATTGCAGCTCCACCAAGGTATGCTAGTGTCGCCTTAAACTTCATCCTAATCACTCAGGATTCACACACACACACACACACACACACAGTGTGTCCCCAGACCCATGTATGACAGTTAACCTCTGTCCCTGCACAGGACACTAGATCAGTAGCCTGCTCTGGTGACTTTGATGGTTACCTGTCCTCCACTCGTGCCATTGCGGACTGTCTTGCTTTATTGGGCTGAAATGGAGAAATAACAGTTGGGTGTGATTTATGCAACTCTGTAACCAGGGTCTCTACTAACCGGGCCCTTTGATTTACAGGGCAGTGAGAGACATGCCGACATGTGTCGAATATGTAGCAAGGCTATGACAGCGGTGGAGGTTATTAGGCTGGGGCTTGCTCTCTGTGCGAGATAATATCCACATTGAACTCATTGCGGGGGCAATGTAGCGTGTAATGTGCAGTAAGTAGGACTGGCATGCACTGCTAGGCCCCGGCCACTTTGAGAGCCCCCCCACTTAATTCCAACCCACAGATAAGCAGCTGGGTTTCAATTTGAAGCGTTTACCACTTGGCAACCATCTCCTGCTCTCTGTGGTCTTTGCTTCAAGTCTTGGAGCTTCATTGTGCGCAAACTTCAAACTTCTGCAAAGCCACTTCTCACTCTCTGTGTGCATGTAGTGTGAAAGCACTGCAGTCAGGATGGCTGCTGTTTTTCTGTGGCAAGTTGTCCTGATTGAAATACATGTCTGTTAGTATATCAGATGCCTTCTCTGACTTTCTGTCACCCTGTTAGCATCCAGGTGAACCGGGTAATGACCTACAGAGATCTGGACAATGATCTGAAGTATTATTCTGCGTTCCAGACCTTAGTAAGTCAAGGACATTTATTTTTATATCTCTTTGATATTCCCACCTCTCTTCTCATCAAGGTGGTCCATTTAGTTTTGCAACCAACATCACCTCTGTTTGTGCAAGCTAAGTGAATTTTACTGCGATCTTTCCTCAGGATGGAGAGATTGACTTGAAGCTCCTCACCAAGGTTTTAGCGCCAGAGCAGGAGGTGAAAGAGGTGAGTGAGTTTTTCGTAAATATAGCTTGTGAGCTCCCAGCGAATGCCCGTCCAGCTGTTTCTAGAGCACCAGGGGAGGTTGCCACTCTGTCTCCCAGGTAATCAAGATTTATGATGTGTACATTAACACCCTCCACTCTCCTTCCCCCCATTCTCCTCTCTTTGCTCCCTCTGTTCCACATGCTCTCTTTTCTTGGTATGTCTCCCTCTGCCTCTCTAATTCTTCTTTTTCTACCCCTCTTGTCTCTCTTGTGCTCTGCAGGATGATGTGAGCTGGGACTGGGATCATCTGTTTACAGAGGTGTCCTCAGAGCTGCTGATGGAATGGGATCAAGGAGAGAGTGAGGAGCAGGCCGCGCTGCCTGTAACATGAGGAGGAGGTTTGGACTGGGACTTTAAATGGCTCCAGTGGGAGCCGGGTGAATGTCCATTACACAGAAGGGCCAGTGACTTTGGTTATCATAACTTTAATTACTGTTTGTTATCCAGAAGTTATATTTTGTAAAGTGTATATAAAGTGTATTTTATAAATAAAGTTCACCGTGCAGCAAACAGCGCAGTGATGTCTTACCCTGTCTTTGTTTAGGTTTGCGGAATTTCACCCTCTTTGTTTGTTAGTTTCTAACTTAAACAGCCAAAAGGCAAACTGATTTTGTTTGAAAAGCTCCTCTGAAAAAAGCTGTCACAGATAAAAATGCCCTCCCTGCTCGGCCAGCATTATCAACACCCTCATACAAGTCCAAGGTTGATAATCAGCTAAGCTGAAATCCAGTTGATTGTGTTCAAATTAACATTCCTCATTAAAGCCTACAACCTTATTGTTATTGACTGTGCCATTGACTTTATCTTCCAGGTCTTCGATAGGAGCAACCCCTTCTTCACTATTATCTCAAATGCATTGAACAGAGTTCCTATTGACACCTGGGGGATTTGCATACATTATACCTTTTACTGGATAAAGAGGAATGGTTGTAAGTCGGGAACAAGGCAGCAGCTGGTGTCAGGTGTGTGCTCTTTAAAGTGAAGGAACACAAAATCCTCACAACAATGTGATAACACCGAATACAGATTCCACAAAACAGGCCACAGGATACGTCTGTTTTCAGCTCTGAATTTAAATCGACATTGGCTCTGACACATTTACACAGAACTTGATATGATTTACAAAAAGCCTTGTAAACCGTGCCTTTAACATGTGCTGGCTGTGTGTATCAGCATTCAGTTTTGTCTTTGGTTCATGTGTGTGAATATAAATGCAGGCCTCCAAAGTCAGGCCAGGTCTATTAGAGAAACAGCTGTAACATTTACAGATTGTGATTAGGTTTATTTCTGAGGCAGAGAGCAGTCTCATGACATTTGGAGATGCACAGCAAAGTCCTCAAGGACACATAATCTGTGCATCTAACAGCTCAATCACTGCCCATCACAAATAGATCCAGATTTTTTCATTTGGTGGGCCTTAAATCAACTTCATCAAGTGTAATACCTCAGGACAAAGCCATCACACGGGATATTTGTGCTCGGAATATTTGTGTGTGGGAGCATATTTGAGCTTAGTGCTCAAATGCCGCGAGTGATCTCTGTTTCTCTATCAGACATACAAACGCACTCTTTTTTACCGCCTCCACAATTGGCTTATTTAGCCAGACTTAATGAATTCTGCCCATATGCCCTGAGCAGCTGCTATGTTGCCCCTTCCTCCCGCCCCTGCCGAGCTGCGAAGTGCCCATCCATGTAGAGACAACCTCTAGCTGTCTCTCTGGAGAAGGCTAAGCCTGCCACTCCTCTGCTGGCAGCCGGCCGGTGCTGTCTGAGGTGGACTGCGGACGGGCCGAGGACTCAGATTAGGGCCCAGTGATCACGGGTTGTGGCCGGCCTCAAATGATTGGCCCGAGCATCGGTGGATCAGAGAGGGGATTAGAGAAAGAGAGAGAGATCCAGAGACGCTGTTTGGCATATGCTTGCATCCAGCTTCTCAAAGTGACCTCTCTCTACTCCCTCATCCTGCTACTCTCTTCTCCTTTATTCTCTCCGTGTCTCTTCGTGTATACAGTATATCCTCAGAATGACCTCTCACTGTCTGGGTGCAGTGAATTCAATCACGTCAAAACAGCTACAATATGTACATTATTTCTAGTGAGGAAGACAGTTGTGTTCTCAGAGAGCTTTCTGGTTGTGGTGGTTGCTTTCAGATGAACATGGTGTCACTGGGAGGTGAGCTGAGTCTAAAACCACGTTGATGCTGTGTATATCAGATCAGATGATACAGGCCTCACATGGGTTGAGGGTGTAATTTGTTTTTCCCTGACATTTTTCTATTAAAATAATGGAGCCATTACTGCTGTAAAAATCCACATAGCCCCAATGCATGCTTCTGTAATCCAATATTTCATTCAAAATGTTCCAGTAATGACACAATGTTTAACATCCTTTGATTTGCTGGGACACATACAGCACCACGGCGCACCAAATCTCAGAGTTTACATAGGAAAAGAAGTTTTCTCGTGTGAATCTATGCTGTTTATTTTTAAAGCAGCAGTTTGTTACGGAAGACACACTGTAAAACCTTTAGGCTAGTATGGACCAGCTGAGCTCAGGGAGTTCTCAGGCCACTGAGTTTAAATGGGTAATTTATCTGTGTTTTTATTGGGTCCCCTGGTGGAAATGACTTTTCATTTTGTGGCAAAGAAAACAAACGCAAAGGAAGTAATACAGTTTTAATATTAGGAAAGGAAAAAAAAAAAAGCAGACGAAAGCCCCATTAATGTAATGTTTTTTCCTGCTGCTCGTCGACAGGCTTGTCTTAATGTATTTTGATATTGGGCGCTAATTGGAAGGATAGAATAGAGATAATATGCTTCCAGCTCTACCTAATATGCCGTGGTGTTGACAGAAGTTTATACATCTTATCTGGTCTCAATATCTGCCTTCCATATGGCCCAAAAGCAATATGCTGTGCTGTAATTAAAGAAAATAGGGAGATGTGGAGATAGCTGGGGCCCGATGCCGGGGCCCCGCAGTCACAGAGTGAGGGGTGAGGACAGACATGCTAAAGCTCAAGGAATATTAGGACCAGTTGATTCCACCAGGGGCCGCGTGCCTGTCACAGGTTCCCTGTCGCTGACCCAGCCGGCACTGCATCAGTCAGGTGCCACGAAGCGGTCATGAGAGGATTATTATCAGTTTAAAAAGGCAAGAAAATAAAGACATCCCCCTTTTAAAGTCCGGACGAGATCATGTTTTACACATTAATTTATAACATAACTAGCTCGGCTGTATCAACCATATTCAAATGGATCTTGTGCCCTTTGAAACGAGCCTCAAAAAGCAGCCGCAGTATTGATTTGCCACAAAGACTCCATGATATTTCAAGTTTAAAGGAGAAATCCTCGCCACACAACTAAGGCAGTCAGATCAATATCATTTTTTGATCAAAAGGGGATTTGCTTTTGAAATAGCTAGATTAAACAGATGTTTTATTTTTCATTAGATACACTGCACCTTTAAAAACCCACAGGGGGTTGTGGGAGAGGAGGGGGAATTACTCCACAAAAGAGACAATGAAAGCGGGTATTTTTTAAGACCGAAAGTTTGACGGGTTGAAAAGTATTTTCAGTTTTGTCAGTGCTATTTTTCCCCTCTCTTCTTTAGTTAATATTCCATCGCTCCAAGTCCTTTTTTGTTTACCCCAGGTGGGCTTGGACATGAAATGGCTGGGACGGTGGCAGCTTTGAATGCCCCTGGGCATCTTACGGCCGTCATGTTGTCAAAGGACCCGGGAGGGGAAATGAGAGGCCAAGAGTTTTTTCAAGTGTAAACCATGAGGTGGGGGAAAAAAGCTTCTGTTCTTTTTGTAACAGTGAGATTGGCTGAATTCATTATTATTATTTCCTGCGTCCCCCTCATATGTTTTTAGTGCAGCTGAGGGTTGGAAGGCAAGTCAGGGGTTTGAACATGAAATACAGTCGAACTCCACATTTGTCATGTATTTTATTATTTCCCTTCCTCACCTCTCAGTCCTGTACGCGAGGTCCTTCATTTTTCACATGACTGGTTTTCTTATCATTGTGGGCCCTCTCCGCTGGCCTATGAGTGACTTAAAGGCAATAAAACACAAAACATTCTGTAAAACACGGATGCCTCTCTGATCGCGGAGGCCCTGCAATGCCTCTCTGGGAAATTATGATAATAACTCAGTGGCGGTTGGAGTGGCCAGGTCGCTTGTGGGGGGCTGGGGGCAATGGGACGGGGTTCACCAAGGTCCTCTGAGCAGGGACAGGTCAAGGTGGCCTGTTGGGCCTCGCCACCCCCCCACCCCCTACCCCCCGTCATAAACTCTTTCCATCATGCAGGATGCTGTCCGCAGCCGGGTATACAGCAGAACCTCTTTGTCTTGTAGCCACTGGCGATAAAGCAAGGGCTGATGGGAGAGCAGTTGTGCCGGCCCCCCGGCAGTGGCGAGGTCAGCCGAGGAGCTTATCATAGCCAGCAGAGGAAAACGCCTGAGTCAACACAACTCCACTGTTTGCCCTCTGAGGGTCACAAACACACTTCTGCTAATGTACTTTGAACTTTTTATTTTTGCTCCTTTTGAGGGTAAGACACAAGGCAGCAAGAGCACGGTGTCTGCTCCTGATTTTTGGTGTCTGGATTTGTCGCTGGGTGGAGGGAGGGGCGGGATGGAGCCCCACAACACCTCTCAAGTGTGTGAATGAGAAGGAGCGAGGACAGGAAGAGAGTGCGGGCTCCACCACTGAGGTGCTGACAGAGGGGACCGAGGGGCTGAGATTGCACCTGTTCCGGCCCAGCACCCTCCCAGCAGGGTCTCGCCAGAGCCTCAGCCTTCTCCTGGCATCTGTGATGGGGGCCAGGGCCAGTCCCACCTCCAGCGCTCGCTCCACCTCTTCTTTTGCTTGTAGAAGAGAGACGAGTAACGCTGGAGGCTCCATCTGCCGAGGGCTCGCCGCGGTCTCTGCGGCCCGCCTGGAGAAGGGGGTTGCTGGGCCTCCACGACTCTGCCACGGGGGTCTCACAGTGGTAGACCACAGCGCGGCACATCACACGTCACATGCCAGCTGGCCAGGCTCTCTCCACTGTAAACAGAGACTAATGACCACTCAACACGCATACACACACCAAACACGTAGCCCTTGGTGGCGTGGAGGAGGGGAGACATTTTAGGGGAAAGGTTTGGTTTGGATAAAGGAGAGCAGCATCCTGAGGTTACTTCATAGGATCTGCTGCAGTAGGAGAAGCTGTTTGAGCCTGGAGAGGAAGCTCACCGTCACAGTGGGATGTCACTAAATCTACTCTTTGGGTCTGACTCTGAGTCCACTACATCACAGCCCACTGGTTTCCTGCATGTGCGCAACATCACAGGCCTCCCAGTGCTCCGCAAGCCCCCAGGCTCAAGCTGGTCCACCTGCTGAGGCGGTAAAGCTCTCATGTTGGATCTCTGTCCTGAGGAACTGTATGTACCGATGAACTCTGGGAACGAATAATGCATTGGTCTCTGCTGAAATCCAATCCAATTGTTGGAACATTAGCAACTGTTAATGCATACTGTGAAGATTTTTACCTAAAAAATTCAAAAAGCAATGTGATAATTAACATCCATCAGTGGGCTGTACCTTTACTGAAACCATATAATACATTTACTGTATGTCAGAGCATGGATGGATTACTGAGTGGGCTCACCAGGTGCAGGCCCCGGGACCCAAAATATCAGGGGCCCTGAGGGCTCTATCTGCAAATTGTCACTCAAACATTTACAGACCAGTAACCACAAAGGGACACAAACAGACTTAAAAACTCAGAGAAACATAAAAAGACCACAAACAGGCACAAAAAAGACCAAGAAATACAACAATTTACCCTGAAGAGACACAGAAAGACCACAAACAGGCACAAAATGAGCTTTCAGAGACAAAAAAGACCAAAAAATACTAAAATCTACCTCATGGAGACATCAAAAGACAACAAACAGGCACAAAATGACTGCAAAAAGACCGCTAAGAGACACAAACATACACAACATTACCTTAGAGACACAAAACAACCACTAGGTGGTGGGGCCCATTGTATATCTGTGCCCAGGGGTCCACTGTCTCTAATCCGCCCATGTGTCAGTGCGGCCTTGAGTTTTGTGTCTCCAGATTGAAGGACATTTGTGTCCCAATGTTTCCTGTCCCATCTCATTCAGGATCTCCTTGTCTGTGTCTCCAAAGCTCAGTTTTCTCAAGAATTCCCCTCCTGCAATCACATTACAATTATTTTTAGCATCCCCCAACCAGATAATTTCATATACGGCCTGCTATCTCATTTTACCCTGATGTCCCCAACACATGCATTTATAGATATAAATGTATATAGGGATATAAATAAATATATCAAATGCAGGATCGGAGTAAAGTGACATTGAGTGTTATTCCCCAGTTAGGCAGGGAGAGGCAGGGAGAGGTAGGGAGGTCACTCGGCTACACTGAGCCACTGGCAGCCCAGGCCCCGCTGGTCCACTGGAGTGACTTGGCTTCATCTACAAACTCGCAATAAATATCTGGCCATCATTTATTTTAATTCACTCCTTTCTTGCTCAGATGGAATGGATTCTTAACCTTGTAGGACAAGGACACCCGCATACTGCCTGCCTTGCCTTAGCTGCTAAATTATTCTTCATTCTTCAGGGGAAATAAAAAAAAAAAAAAAAAAAAGGAGTCCGGCGTTGCTCAAACTGTCAGCTCCAATGAAAAGCACGCCTGAAAACGTTGTCACTGAACCCCTGGACAAGGAAAAGACGGGGAGTGGGCAGTGAAAAACAGGGTGAGAGTAGTGGGGGAGAGAGGAAGAGGGGGGAAGGTGGGGGAGTCAGCAGCCTCCAGAGTGATTTATTTGCCAAATCAGGACACAATGAGTCGATTATGAGTCCTCTAATAAGAGAGAGTGTTTGGGGACCCACTAATTGGGCATGATTGAGTTGCAGTCTGGGAGCCGGGCGAAAAGGGAACCTGGTCGGCGGCTGTCATGCAATCATCAGCTAATCAGAGCTTTGAAATTAAAACTGCGTGTTTAGGGTAGAGGACGGGATAATGGCAGGGACCTGTCTGAGCTCTGAGGCTGCCTGAGGAGGCTGTTATGGTGTGCACGTGTTTGTGTATTTGTTTGTGTGTGTGTGTGTGTGTTTATAAGTACAGTATGTATATGTGCAGTGGATAGAATTGATTATTATATATCATGTGTGTGTGTGTGGGTGTTTGGCTGTGAGTGTATTTGGGTCCTCTCATCTCTGACTGTGGTCTGCGCTGGTCTTGATGAGGACAGTGAAGGAGCTGTAATCAGCCCAGCCCTTGTGCTAATACTTGTATGTGTGTTTGTGTGTGTGTGTGTGTGGGTGGGTGTGTGTAGCTTTGTATCTCCAGGTCACAGTCCCATATATGTTTATTTTTTTTAAAGGCAGAATTGAGAAATGTAATAGAATCCAATATTATATAATATTTTGTACACATAGTTCAGAATAATATGCTTTAAAAAATGTGAATGTAGATGCAAAGACTTTGAATATTATATATAATCAGTTGATTATAATCATTTAAAAAGTGAAGCTAAACAATAATATATTGGTCTTTTTGGTTGAATATGACAGAAAACAAAATTACTAATCATTTATTTAATAAAAAGAAAATAAAAGATATTATCCCCTTAAATATTAGCCATGCTAATAAAGTATCTCAGGTAAATAAGTTCAAAAAATCCCAATAAAACCAAAGGCTTCAGTTTCTACACAACAATGTTGGGATTAGTAGTGAAACAGTTGTATTCCCGTGACGTCACTAGGGGGCAGTGTTTATCTGCAATGCATCGCGAGAGCAAACACACAGAGGCTAATTGATGTCAGGTGCTTCCTCTGACTGTGTGCTTAAAACACAGTTACAAAGCACAGCATTACAACAAGAATGCCATACAATTACAGCCTCTGAATTACAGGTAAGATGTGAAAATCCCTTTTAAAGACAAGTAGTATTTTTATTTCTTTGTAACTTTATCGTATTAAGTATTTTGACGTGGGTTGTTCCGACTTCCAGGACACATTTTAAGGCCCCTTTGGTACACTGGCTAGCACAAAGGCTGCCCTTGTTGTATGTTAAGCTGCTACAAAAAATAGTTTTCATGTAGAATATTTAAATGTTACATTTTTGGAAAGAAAAAATAGCTCAGACTTGTCAGACTGAAGCCTCAGTGTCCACAGAGGAAACAAATATCAGTCATGTTGAATAAAACAAAACATTTTTATACCCTAAACACTCATATAATAGTTTTAAAATGTGGTTGCTTTCTCAAAAATCGCCATTATATTTCTACATATTTCTATATAAATTTCTATAATATCAGTGTAGGTAGTTTTGCCTTCTCAATGGTGGTGGTGTTAATGTAGCATTGTAGTGTGCAGCATGATATTCAAGAAAATATTGTAACATTATAGCAGTAATTTAAACTATTTTTATGTTTTTTAATATGGCAGAAAACAAACTGGTGGACTACGTATGTGCAGGGCTGCTTGCATGTGATTTGACTGCAGAGAGCACAGTAAGTGTCTGCAATATGTCCTCTGTCTTATAATTGGAAATCAATTTTTAAAAAATAGTCGTATGTTAATTTTTGCTGCTGTTCATTCATGTATTCAGATATAAATATCTAATATAATCAGTAGCAGCATATAAGATATTTACATTTTTCATTTGTCTCATAATTAATACATTTTTAAGCTGTTTGTTGTCGTCAGTGCTGTGATATTGAAATGAAGGGATCAGTTAGACTTTTAAATCAAATGACACCAGTGTAGTGTTTCAGTGAGAACCAATTTTGAGAATAAGTTTCAGGTTTTAGTTAAAGTGTTTTTTCTGTCTTCGCTCTCCTATTTCCTTTCCATGTCCACAAATAACCCCCCAAACAAACAAACACACAGTATTTCTTTCAATCCTCCCAAGGCCTTGTCTAATTGTAAATGCGCCTTACATCTAAAGAGGGCCTCACTATAAAAATCTGAAGTGGGTTTAGGCATAAATGGGATTAATTCCCAAAGAATGTCCTTTGCTCTTCCTCCCATAATTTCATTTGCAGGGTCCACAGGATGAATAGCCAAGCAGGCAGTGATGTGGAACTGGAGGACAGGCCTTGCGGGGCCTGTGCTGCTACACCGCAGCCTTCAGGTTATGTTACCTTGATAATGTCACAGCTGCAGGAACCACACCGCCCACCGTACAGGACACAGGAAATCCAATTATCCGCCTTCTAATGTGTGGGAATTTTACGCTCTCATTTCTTAGACTTTGGCTCCAGCTCTGCCCGAGGGCAAACCTACCTGGGAAAGATTCCTGGGATTATTATTTATTTATTTACCAGGAAAAATGTTCACCAGCTTTTTGACTGAAATCAATATTATGAGAAAGTTAGAATGTAGAGAACGCCAAAAAAAAAAATCTTGACAAAACTGTTTTATTAAGATTTAAAAATCAGTTAATTTTACTTATTTTACGTCCTTTTTGTGTTTGTAATTTAAATCTGATATAAATGTCATACATACAGTTGTACTTGGCTGTACAAACCACACACAGTCACACACAGACAGACGAACAGGAGCAACCCTGATTCATCCCAGAGTCAGCCAGGTCTCTGCGATGGCTGTATATGGGAGCAGGTCCACCACCTGCATGGACCCCCGACTGTTTTTTGATTTAATTAAAAGGAAGAGGGTGCATCAATTTCAAGCGCATGGCGGGGAGATGACAGTACACAAATTGAAAGTAAGCATCTCAGTGGAGCAGGGAGGGGGCTGGCCCATCATTAACATAGAAGACAATTCTGTGTGCAATGTAACAAGATTAGAAACATTATTATCATTCCGACGCTAGACATAAAACCCTGCTGTGGAAAGAAGAAAAAAAAAAACAATCTCAAGAAGGCTCTTTACTCAGGACAGAGTTAGACAGGCTTGAAAAAACAAAACAAAAAAATCATAGCATAGGCAAGTGTTTCTTATACTGTCTGTGAAAATATGTAGCTCATCCCCTGGGGAGGTTTCATATTTTCTGATACTTTACCCCACACAGCAGTGATTATGTATCTCAGAAGTGATTATATATCTGCCCCCCCCCCATCCCTGCTGAACCTCCAGCACAGATCCAGTATATCAGTGGGTTCGCTTTCGGTCCGATCCGAAGGAATGTGAATGTGCTCTGCGCTCGAGGAGGAGCCCTATTAATGAACGGTAAAGACAGATGAGTCTCTCTCATGCCAAGCAGGTTGCTGCAATTGGATTAGTGAGGCTGAGATTGGGATGGATAGCTGTCTATGTGCCAAGTGGCCATTAGCCCGGCCAATATGCCAATATAAGTGTACACAAAAACAGGCTCAGGATTCCCCTCAGTGATCTCAACACTCAGACTAGAGTCAGCAGCTGAGGATTTCTAAAGCATTAAAGCTGTGCGGACATGCTAATGAGCAATAAACATTTATCAACTGTGATAATGTGGAGGTTAAATAGTTGATTTAATAGCTGATGTCTTTAATTTCAAGTGGCACCTGAGCCAGCTTCCCGTATCGCTTTCAATGTACAGGAAATACAAATATCAGCATCCAGTACAAGTGATCTGTCAATGGCTGTCACACTGTACTTTATGAATGGAAAGCTGCCCGTTCCTGGCATGTATCAGAGAGGGTTGCTGTGTTTCCGAGGCTGATGTCATGTTCTCGGCGAGGCGATGATGGGCACTGTAGATGTCAGTGGACACCAGGGGCCCTTCTCCAACCAACTATACAAATGGGCATGAGTGTGAAGAGCTGGGGAAATGTTATCAATCACCCCGCGTCCCAGCGGAGGAGCTGCTGGCGTTTGTGTAGAGAGCCCCACTCATACTGATCCATATAAAAGGCTGTGTGATGTATTAGAGCAGATGAGCAGGGGCCGGCTCTGACACATGACTGACAGCTCATTTGACAGCCCCAGGAAAGTGTGCAGGGAAGTTTCAATCTAATCTAATGCTGCTGAAGGAATGAAATTGTGGTGTGAGATTATGTTTTCATGTTATATCCCCTCTAGGACAACACGGGCTGAATGGGGTGAATATGATGTGGACGACCCCCGGTCGAGAAGGTACCCATGGAGTCAGACGCCGCAGTCGACTCTCAGTCGCGACCCCCTGACCCGTGCCTCTCCCCTCGATCCACCTCAGTCCGATGAATCAGGTTTCTGAGGAAAGAACAAGAAACTGAAACCCGGCTCAAAGCCATATCTGTGGGTAAACAAAAACATTTTTGTGTCATGCATTATCAATCAGCTGTCTCGTGGGGCTTTCCAAACAGGTAATCTCTGTCATTCAATCGCTTCACCGCAGGACCTGGGTCCTCCTGAAACGGGATAGCCACAAAACAGACATTAATATTAAGTGCAAGAGAGATCAGCTTCTCCTTGGCCTCCTCTCCCTTCTGCTTTTTTCTTAAGTGCAGAATATCTGTGTAGGCCACCTGCATGTTGAAATCAATATCTCTTATTCTGCAGTATAGGTTTACACACATGTTTTTAATGCGAGGATACATTTTCTCATAATAAATGTCATATTTATTGACACAACATTAAATGAGCCCCTCATAAAAATACATTTCCACACACCAAAGGTCACAGAGGTCACAGAACATTTCTTAATTACACCAGAAATGTAAAATTATTTTACCAGAAAACTATTAAAGCCCAGGAGACTCAAACCTCCCAATGCGTTCTCCCACAATGATCAATCATAGAGCGCTAATTAGCCATTTTACAGCTATTAAAAAAAAGACGCTCAGCCCTTTCCATTATGCCCCATCTATTTTCCCACCATTATGGCCTTTTCTCTTTTTTTTCCAACTTTTGAAAGTTATTAGAAACTTCTGCTGCACTGAGGAATAAAGTATCGACTTTCCATACTAGACGTGCCAGGCTTTCTTCCCCTCCGTCCAGCGCCTTTTACTCGCAGAATGAGGTCAGCAGTTGGCCCACAAGCGTTGAGTGTCAGCTGCTGTTTTTCCATTGAAACAGACTATACTCGGGTGTTTAGCCCTCTGACAGCCTGACGTTGGCCTCTAAGCAGCCCGGTGACCACAGAACCTGATCCCACACAGTCAAGCGGCTGTGTCTGCCCGGTCTAAACTCACCTTCCCCAAAACATGCCACACAAATCTCTCCTCCCTCTACTTCCTGTAGCATGCCTCTCCTCTCCCGTTACCTCTCTCCTCTCCATCTGTTTCCACACTTCAGCTTTTCTGCGCGACGGTGTCCATATTTCCCTGCCAATGCTGTGGAAGGCCCCTGCGAATGTTCGTATTGTCTAAGTGATCATTAAAATTTATGGCAAGCTGACTTCATCCGGCTTGCTAGGCCGCGCTGGCATAAGTCATAATTATGTGATGACACTGTAAGAAGCAGTGTCCACGCTGGCCCCTTCTTCCAGGCAAGTTAAATGATATAATTAGACCAGTAAGAGGTGAACGCTCCAGATTGGATAAGTTATTAAATGTTTGGATGAACCTGAGCTCCATTTCCCTAACTACCGCTGTCTTCCTCTCACTCCTGCTCCCTCCCTCCTCCCTCCATTAGCCCATTAGCAGTTATGTGATACTATATGCTGATGGGGCAGTGGACAGAGAAAGTGGGTAAATTAAGCCTGACCAGTGGTTGTGTTATGGACTGCTCTTATAAGGTGCTACTGAAGGACACGGCAAGACTCAAGAGAACAGCACACGACCGAGGGACTACCACAGACCTGATGGTAGAGTAATGTGAGCTCAGCTGAGTTTGTAAACTTGAAAAATGTCGCTCTGACCTTCGTTATGATCCTGGACTGAATGTTATGTTGATTACATTCATTAAGAACTCATACAGCTCGCTGTTTTCACCCCATGGAGCTATGGGAAGTGATTGTACTGTACAGCAAACACAGGTCAGACGGGCAAACATGTCAAATTTAACCCATCAGATTGCTCAATTTGTCCCCAGTTAAACTGTAATAGAAGGCAGTGCACCGAGGTTGACAGCATGCCTACCGCTGGGCCCTTGAGCCTTGGTGTGTGCGCCTGTGTGCGTGAGCGTGTGTGTCGTGCTCCACCAGAGGGTCTCACCAAGCATGACTGCGTGTTATTCACACTGACGAGTTCCACTGTTCACTGTCACCTCTCATTGTGAGGGGATATAAGCCTGTGGAGAGAGCTGCGGCCAGGGGAGGGTGGAGGACAGAGGAGAGGCTGCAGGGAGCCCCCCATTCTTACAACCGCAGCCCAAGGACTAGTTTTTCTCTTCCAACGAGAGCTAAGCTGGATATTCCTAAATATCAGTCCTCATCCAATCAAACACCTGACAAACAGGAGCAGATATTCAGATGCAGCATGCTCAGCAGTCTGGTTAGGCTTCCTAACACATTCTTCCAGACAGTGGCGGAGGCCTGGCTGTGTGTGTGGCCGTATTCGGGGAGGGGTGGGTGTTATGGTGTTTGATTTGTTGTGAAGACTCGAGCAGCAGGACTCAGCAGAGTCCAGGTTGGCCCAGCAGGCCCGCCGAGAGTGACACTTCCTTTCTCTGTCTCGTCCTGCGGAGAGCCCTGACAGCAGGGACCTGGTGCTGAGCCGCGTCCCCGTTCATCATCACCAGAACCAACCACCCACAGCGGGTGGGAGGGTTGGAGGGGGGTGGGGGGGACTCGGTTATCTGTGTCACCCCACTGTCCCCCTCCTCCTCCTGCTCTGTCTTTGGCCCTTCTCCAGAGAGACCAAAAAGCCGGTCTCTCTCGGCTCCCTGATTGTTTTTGTTCCTGCGAGCAGACAAATAGAGTTTGGCCTCTTACAAAAGAAAATGCCGGAGCTCATCTGATCTTACTGCCCTAAGGAGTGGCCTGGCCTGAAGGGCTAGTGATTGGAAAATTACAGTGCTGCTCCAGCCATATTGTCAGGGAGTCTCCGCCAGACTCTTTTCTCTTTGTGTGAAAGGCCCTCAGCTGAATGGCCAATCGTGCACTTTTAACGCATCCATCAATACTGTGGAGTGATTGGCTGTCGACGGTGCTAATTTAGATCTGGATCATTTGTGTGGTACTCCTAATTTGGGTAATTTCTTTGGCTCTGATTACAGTGTAAGTGGATACAGAACAAGTTATGCTGGTACATGACATTTTTGCAAGGCAGATAAAACTTATTTTTAAAATGTCAGTTTTAGAGGAGCAGTGTGTAAGATTTAGTGGCATCTAACAGTGAAGATGGCAGATTGCAACCAGCTGAAACTTCTCCTGTGTGCCAAGTGTGAACTCCTGGTTAGGATTCCTTAAGTGTTCAGTGCTCAGTAGGTTTTTACCAGGAGCTGAATTATTTGCAGAGATCTCCTCCTCTCCAAAACAAAGGGACAAGGTGATTTACCTGGTGAAACACTGAATAAAGCAGTTTCATTTTTTCTGACACTGTTCAGCTCGTCCCTGACCCTATCTAGAGTCAGTGTTTGGTTTGTCCATTCTGGGCAAATGTAGAAACATGGTGGTGCAACATGGTGGACTCCCTGCGTAGATATAAACAGCTCATTCTAAGGTAACAAAAGCACAATAAATTCTTATTTTTCAGGTGAATATACAGTTAAACATACTTAGTATATCTCATTACAATTGTGCATATCCCCTAAATCCTACATGCTGGACCCTTAATTCTGCAAGAAAAATCTAAACATACATTAATAATACATGCTCGCTGAACTGGTCAGCGAAACTCGATGTGAGACAGCAGTCAGAGATTTGGTCTTTGGGTGAAAATACCTGTTGCGGCTCCAGAGTGATGTTCAAGCCGCCCATTCCTGCCACACAAGTGGCTCTCTGAGAAGTGATTACAATTGGTGGGGGAAAAGAGGAGTAAAACAAGGGCCTTGTCAGCACAGACTCTCCAGATTTGAGGTCAATTTCGCCCCCTGATTGCGTGTGTTTTTGTGCGTCTGTGGGGGGAGGGAGAGACAGAGTGAGAGTTTACTGTTGCCTCATCGAAGCCATCATCATCACCTGACAAGCACAGGCTGAAACCATTCTCATCCGTTTGTTTTTTTCCTACACCTACCATTCTTTTATTCTTCCTTGCCCCCCCTCCCTTCCCTCCTTTCTTCCCCTCATCCCTATCTCTGCTCCTCTTGCACCCCTTGGCCCTGGCCCTCTGCCTGCTCTTTCGCTCACCCCCCATGTTCGCAAATCACTTCTTCCCGTGTCAGCAGGTAAATTGTTTTGTCCTCCCATTCCCTGCTTTCATTACCTTGTGTAAATTAAGCGATATGTCGTCCACCGGTGCGCGCCAGAGCACTCACTGCGCCAACGCCAAAATCATGAGATTTGGCATAATAAATGAAGACAAACTGGCAGTAGCAGTGCTCCTCTCCGCGCGGGCTCGCCTTCATTATTCGCTTAACTTGCCGGAGAAAATGACTTAACCCTGACCTGTGTATTTCGTCCCATATTCACTCCAGATAAAAGCCTTTTTACAGCGCACAACAATTTATATTCCAGCAAAGAGGCTGCTTTTCTCTGTCAGTTTTCCAATCTCAGCTCCTGAACACACGTCATTAAACTTGTCTTGCCTTCCTGTATTTGTCCATCAGTCCTTCTTTTTACATAAAATCTGGCAGCATTATTCTGGAATTTGATGGCACCCACTCATTTTTTCCCCTTGGAATGTTTGATTGGAAGAAATATAGCCGGGCTGGGGCTATCTCCTCTCTTCTGTGGAATCATGCACTTGATGAAATAGTGTTCCCCCAGCAAGAATAATAAAAACAGACTTGTGCATTACAGGGGGCTCTCAATCTGCCAGCTGGGCTGAGCTGAGCGGGAGGAAAAAAAAAAAAAAAAGCCCACCCTCCTCCTGACAGATTTTTATAGTTATCCCAGCAGATAAATGGAAACGGGTGACCAGGCTGGGGAAGGCCACTCTGGAGCCGAGCACTGGCTGCAGGGCTGGACAATAGCTTGAGATGTGGTGTGGACATTAAAGGGTCGACCACAGAGACGAGCTCACCGGCACCACCAGAGATCTCCTTTTCTACTGCTCAGAGAGAAACCTGTGAGCAATTGTGCCTACTATGAAAACACAGCTCTCACACAGATAAACACAGTTTCCAACACCTTGCAACACAGTTTGGTTTATGTTACTAAATCTTTGTTTCTGTCCCCCATAGCTGGTGGTTGAGTGGTAGTGATAGAGAGGAAAGTTAAAGTCCTGTGTCACACTGTGGTCTAGCTCCATTGA